ATGATTGAATTTCTTTTAAGGAAAATTGCACTGAAGTATTTATGATGTATCTAATCAATTATTTGCTTTATACTATATGACTTATTTAGAAGATGAAGTACAAACTCTATAATGTATATGTAAAGAGAACAAGAATAGGAAAATTCAAATTTCTGTGGACTTTTCTATTTTCAACTAGAATAAGGACAAATTTGTTCTATCCCCCCCCCCTTTTGTTTGGGAACTGTCACTGTCCAGTTGTTCATTGATTGCTCGAACGGGCCCAGTAACGTCTCCATTTTGAGACTTGTTGTTACTGTGTTTGGCATATTGAATACATCACGGGTAGCTTGCCAGGCTTTGCCATGTGGGCGAGATACTCTCGGTAGCTTGCCGGCCTCTCTGAAAGGGGCAGAGGAATCGAACCCGGCTCGTCTGGGCTGGCTGCGCACAAAGCAAGTGCCCTACCACTGTACTATCGCTCCAGCCCTGTTTGGGAACTATACTTAGTAATTCTCAGAGGCTGTTCACAACTCAGTACTTAGAGACTGCTCCTGGCAGTAATTGATTAGAGGACTATGTAGTGGTGGGTACTGAACCCCAGGTTTTACATGCAAAGTACGTCTGGAGCCTTTGGAACTGGTTCCTTTTCTCTGTGTGTGTGTGTGATTTTAATGACATTTTCTCACCAGACAGAACTAAATATTTACTACTTAATTCAAAGACTTTGATTATAGCCTAAGAAAATGTTTAAGCTAGAGTTTGAACTAATCACTATTTCACAAGAATTTTGTTCTGTAGATCTACCAGTCCAAAGCAGCTCTCAGAAGTGTGTGGCTGAGGACGGAACCCAGGGTCCTTGCAGGCAGGGTACATAGGGTACGTGTTCCAGCCTCAATAACTTCCCTTACCTTGGAATGTTATTTGTTAGTATTTTTCTTTTTTAGTTTTTCTTAGGATTACATACATTTCAATCATCACTTTTTTAATCATTTCTTTTTTATGGTTCTGTAATTGCTATGTGCAAATTTTGGTGAGTTTTGTTGTTGATTTTATCCTTTACTGCAGAGGAATATGATAAATCAAGGTGTTCGATACCCGAAGTAATAAAATCCTCACCTTACTGATGAATACAAAGACCAGTCAATATTATGTTGAAACTGAAGGGATTTTTTTTTAGAATTTTGTGGTATTGATAGTAGTATGTTGATTTAAAGCATTGCTAGATCAGTCCAGTACAATATTGTTATGCTTCCAAAAAGCTATTTAGAGATACAGGGTACTGATGAAAATATTACACTTAAAATAGAAAATTACTGTAGTCTTTAAATTTATCCCAGTGGTCATTTAAGATGTTTAATATAGTAAACTTATCTATAGTATCCATATTATTTGCAAGCCTTTTTCTTATTCATTCTGTATTATATACATATTTTGTTGATGTTGTTTGATAAACAGTCACCATTATTTAATCACTTTGCATTATTTCCTAAAATGTCATACAGATGAAAAACAAAATTTTGCTTAATTTTGACACATGCAAATGAGATTTTTTTCTCCCTGATATTTCTGAAAGCTGAGAGTACATTATTCAAATTTTAATTTTTTAAGGAAATGTCTATTTTAAAACTTGTAGTTGTTTCTATTATTTACTTTATTAGTTATATGTCACTTCATATATTTATCTAAAATATTAATTTAGAATTTTTAAAGTTTTTTTCCAATAGTTATAGAACATGTTCAAAGTAGTAAAAAAACAGTACTGCTCATAAAAATATTAACATTTTGTCATTGTTGACTTATATTCCTTGAAATTAACTACTTTTTAAAAGTTATTTATTATTTGTTTATAAACAGGGAACATGATAGTTATCTATGTTTCTAGACTGAAACATACTTTATGGTATGCATATGTTACTCTAGATTTAATTTTAATACAGGATTCTACATTTTTATTTGTAATACACACATGTGTATTACATACAAAAGATGCAATTATGAGAAAATAAATATAAAATTTTAAATTATTTTTCTCAATCAACATTTTTTGACAAGATATATTAGATTTGGTCAGTGAAGTAAACATAATTTTCTCAGAAAATTTCTCATTCTATGGAAATATGTATAGTTGAAACTGGACCTCTTCCCAGTAACACAATGAAGATATATTTATGTAAACAATGACATATAAACCTAATGTAATCTACTAGACTATAAACCTCTTGGTGATTGGTGTACTTTTCCATTTCACTTCTGTTCTTCTACTGATTAATAACCATATAATAAATGTTTATGGAACATAAATAAACTATAATGAAATGAATAGTTACAAATTACAATTTTAAACTTACACTCACTGATACGTAGTTTTTCTTTAAAAATTGAACTTAAAATAAAAGTCTTAGAATTGAAACACCAAAAGAAGGGTATAGAAATACCTTGATTTTATTAATTTCTTTTTATGCAAAATTGGAATTGAACTCGGGTTGGCCATGTTGGCCGCTTGTAAGGCGAACGCCCTACCGCTGTGCTATAGCTCTTGACTAGCATCAATGCACTTGGCTTTACTGATAATTTTTCCATAGTTTAATGCATTATTGTATAATAGATTATTGTTAGTTTTGGAAAATTTGAGTATTGTTTTATAGTGGAAGTTAGAAAACAAAATTATTTGAAATACTTTTGTAAAGGGAATTGGAGTCTTAATATAGCAGGTAGGCACTTGCCTTGCACATAGCCAACCTGAGTTCAATCCCCAAGCATCTCTTATGCTTTCCCAATCCCACTAGGAGTGATTCCTGAGCACAGAACCAGGAGTCAGTCCTGAAGCCCAAACCATAACAAATGTGTGTATTAAATTTAAGTATATACATATAACATGTATGTATGTATGTATGAGCACATATATAGATAGTGTGTGTGGAAAATGTTTTCTTGCATACCAATAAGGAGATCAGTTGCCATTTTAGACCATGACTATAGTGTTTCATTTTTCTTTGGAAATTTTACTATTAGATCCATATGGTATTATAAAATTGTATATTATCTGCTTAGAGTGCTTTGATCAATGCTTAAATTTGTATGATTTTTTTTCAAAATTTTCAGTGTTTTTCTTTAGCTGTAACAAAAGTTCTTCATTTCAACACCTACGTTGATGTATCTAAAGTGCTTATTTGATATTATTTTTCTTTAAAAGAATTGCATGAAGTACATTTTCAACTCTACAATGTGTTTGTAGAGTTTGTCTTTCATTCAAATAGATATAAAAGAAACACATGATACCCGAGCAAGTTCTTGCTGACCTATACAATAACTGCATCCTAATAGGTCATATTTCAACTCCTATTTTTTTGACAAATAGCCTAGCTCTAAAATGCTCTGTCCGTAGTGCTGAAACCTCTCATGATCTATGAGCTTGTCTTGCTGATAAATTCTAATGTCAGCCTCTGTGTGATAGTGATTCATCAGGTTACAAAATTTGTGTTTGAGAAACACATTGAATTAACAAGTTTCATATTTTGGTGGAATTAGAATCAACAGAGTTTGCCCTTTTGTTTTAAAGAGTTCATAACAATTACCTTCCACATTGTCAAGAAACAGCTGGTATTTAATTAGAAACTGCCAATGCTATCATAAAATCAAATATCTAGTATTAATAAATAATTTGATATGACTGCAGTTTTAGGAATGTTTACAGGCCAGTGACATATTGATAATATGCAACAAGCTATTGTAAGAAAAATTAAATACATGATTATGAATAGGCATAGTGGCAATTAACATGGAAACCTTGTCGCTTTTTAGATACAAACAGCATTTCTATAAAAGTGTGGCTTATTTTATTTTATTATTTAAGGATGTTTTATTTATATGTAAATCTTTACCACCGTTGCCTAACTATGGGCTTCTGTTTATAAATATAATTGAAATGCCAAAAAACATTGGAGATTTTCCAGGTGAATTATTATATTTCCTCCATAGTATTCTTTAAATTACTTGTAATTTTGGGGCACTTTAATGACTCTTAAATTTTAGCCATGTCTTTAAGTGCTTAAAGTATATTACTGGAAACCAGTCTTTTTTTTTAACTCTTAATTAGCTTTAAAAGCTTTTCCTTATGAGAAAATATTTCTTAATAAATTTATTTTGAATGCTAGATTTTCCCTAACTATAAAACTGTCCTAATTCCATTGTATGGACAATGTAAAAAGGAGAATTCTCATAAAATTTTGATGAAATTCAATTAATAAAATATATAAAAAGTAAATTCTAAAATTTTATTCTTGAAAAATGCCTGTCTTGTAAAATTCACTGCAATATCTACATTGATCATAAAAGACTTCAGTGAGTACCAGCTGGGTTAGTCACTGTACAAATCTTAGAGCTCTGCTTTGTGAGTTATATAAAAAATGTTTCATTGCTTTGTTTGCAATATAGCAAAGTTTTGATTATGTGCCTATTATAACAGTCAAATTCATCTCATGTTAACATCTCAAAATTTGGCAATATTTTTATAAACGGATTTAGATTGAGGTAGTACTAATTTCATCAGTGGGCCATATCCACTGGTACTCAGGGCTTATTCCTAACTCTTTGCCCAGTGTCACATCTCTAAGGTTCAGGCGACCACATGGAGTGCCTGGGATTGAACTCACATAGAATGCATGCAAAGCAAGTGCCGTATCTGTTGCATGATTTTTCTGATTCAAAACTAGTACTAATTATTAAAATAGAGTTTTAAGTTTCTCAAATATTAGCTTTATAGTAACTAAAACACTGGAAAAGCTTACTGAGAAAAGAAAATCTTTAAGTAAATACAGAATTTCCTAGAGACTGTTAATAAAGGATCAAATACACTATATGTTTTAATATTGATAAAATGTCTGCTAAAATCCATTTTTGTGCATTAAAATGTAGCTATATAATAGTAAAAATGGCCTATTCTTAGCATTCCAAATTTCATTATAGAAGAAACAAGTTTTTTTTATAAAGCTGTCATTTAAATGATATCTGATCAGGTGACATTTCCCAGAAATTATTCTTTATTTAGAAACAAAAACAAGACAAAAGCAATTTATTTTAATCCAAAATGTATTTTTCCTTATAAAAGAAGTCCACATACTCACTGTGTCTACTCTACAGAATTTGCCCATTTTATTACACCACGTGTCAATTCAAATTTATCTTTTCACTGCAAAAAACTCGTGGCTAATATGTGTAATACAACACAGGAGGTATTGCTCAGTTCAACTACTCTTATATACGTTAAAAAAAATACAGAAATGTCATTGTCCACTTTAACTGTATTCCAGACATAAAAGTTACATGAAAGTTTTAGAAAATGAAATTATTTTATTTGGTTGCCACAGTACCCTTTGAAGCCAGTTAATTGAAATGCTGAACTTGTACATATTTCCATTGGTCAGGAGCAGCATTGGTGAAGCTTAAACTTCTTTCCAGAAAGTAATATTTTTCTTCCTTTTAAGCACACTGAGTCTTCAGCTTTCCTTTGAAGTAGGTTTATTGGTTGGTTTTAGGATACATTTGCCGGCACACCTATAACAGTCGCTTTCACTTCCAATGCTGTACTCTTTTCCTTGCTGGCTTCCCACAGGTTTATCAGTGGAGGATAAAGCTCACTGAATGCAAACGTTGGTTTTTGTAAGTAGTTCCTCTCATTCCTATGTCCTCCTTCACAGTTCATTTCTTGAGAGAGGCAGGTGAAAAGACACATCACACCAATAATTCCCAAAAAGCCTCCAAGGCAGGCCATGAACGTGGTATTACCCTTTTCGTATCCTCTTTGAGCAGTATCCAAACTTTTTGTGGTGACGTTTACACATTGTCTTCTGTGTTTTTGATAGATTGTGGGGATGTCAATGCAAATTTTATACTCGGTTGATGGGTTCAGATGCGTAAGATTATATACCTTGACATCAGATGGTATTCGAGCACTTTGGGCAGCATGGGAATTTTCAGTTTTGACAAATGCCGTCCACCTAACACTGGACTTGAGAATTTTCGAACTTGATTTCCATGACACCAGAACTGAGTTGGCCTGAACATCCTTTATCTTAATATTCAGCGATCCATTGTTATCCTGGGGAAATGAGCCGTCCACTTTGATCATAACAGACTTCAAGTCAGCACCTACCAGGTTAGTGGCTATGCAGGTGTATAACCCCCCTTCTGTTGGGGCTATGCCACTTATATCGAGTGTGCCTTCAGAATGGACATAGAATTTGTCTTTGAGAGTATTAGGCAAGAGTTTTTGCCCCGAAGGTGTTATCCAGTAGATTTCAGGCTGTGGCTCCGCAGTAGCTCTGCAGTGTAAAGAGACATAGCTGCCAGCTTCGAGATCCAGATTGGAAGGAAAACTCTCAGGCGCTATGAGGGGGATGCAAATTTCCATCATTTCCCTGAAATGCACTTGCCGGACATTCTGGCCTTGGAATTCAGGTGGGTCCACGCAAAACAGCGAATCTGGCTCCATAAATCGAATATTGGTTTTGTTCATGTTAATCCAGCGAATGACACAATCACACCTGATCGGATTGCTGTGGATGCTTATTTCCTTGAGATTTGGCAGAGACTCAATTGTACCATGGTAAAGGGCACTCAGAGCATTACTGTTAAGCATGAGTGATTCCAGTTTAGGTAATCTGAAAAACGCATTAGGGTGAATGTAAGATAATCTAGGGTTGTTAGTAGCTTCGATTTTTCTTAAATCTGGCAAGTTATCCACAGCAAGACCATCTATGGAGACCAGCTCAGGCATATTATTTATCCCTAACTCTTTCAGGTGCAGCATATTGCTAAAATCTCCTCTTCGTATTCTATTAATAGGATTTTTATTTAAATCCAAAAATTTGAGGTTTACAACTTTTTGAAGAGCAGCATGGGGTACTTTAATGAGCCTATTGTCATAAAAAGAGATGCTTTCTAAGTTTTCAAGTCCAACCAAGGCATTATCTGGTATTTCTGTGAGATTTATACCAGCAATAACTAGACTGCGAAGATTGATAAGAGGCTTAAAGTTCATGTCTTTGATTCTAATGATTGGATTTTCCCCAATCATCAGAATCTCCAGATTGGGAAGAGCATCAAACCACTTACTGTTAATCATCTGCAATCTATTTGAATTGAGATGAAGTCGAAGAAGATTTTGAAGGCCAATAAAGGCTCCAGGTGAAATTGTAGAAAGCAAGTTGTGATTGATATAGAGTTCTTGTAAGTTGCTCAGTCCAGACAGACATTTTTCAGGCAGCTCAGTAAGTTTGTTTTCCTCTAGGTACACAGAAAGCAGCTGAGGCATCTTTTTTACATTAATATTGGTGACAGAAGATAAATTATTTTGAGATAAGTCCAGGCCAGTGAGGTTTACTGGAAAGTCTGTGGCGTATTCAATTCTTGCAATATTATTGGTCTGTAGGAGCAGAATCTGTGTGTCAGCGGGCAATCTGGCTGGGAAATTTAAAAGACCCAAATCATTACAGTCCACAGTGGATGCTTCCATATAAGTGGATCTGGGTGTAAACCAAGGCCTGATTTCACAAGTACATAATTGTGGGCAATCTGCTTTTTTATCTACAGCTTGTACTAGTGTAGTGATAGCTAGGCCAAGTAGCACATGAATTCGGAGTGGCATGTCCTTCATCTTAGCTTTTTTCTTCAGATACTAAATGGGTCCTTAAGGATTCCACAGTCACTGCCAGCAAGTTCAGTGAGAGCTGATTGATAAGGAAAATAGTTGCATTTGTCAAATGATGAATGCCATAGAACTGCAGAGTTTTTCTTCATGAAAAGAAGTGCCAGTACCACAATTACAGTGTCCAAAAATGTCATGCATATTGGAAAAAAGAAAGTCACTATCTCCTTAATGATAGGGTATTGAGATACTTTTTGAAGATGAAGTATGTATTGATGTTCACAGGAAATTGAGTGATTCATTTATTTAGGACTATAGCATTCAAATCCCATGCTTGTTCATCTCTTGCAGGAATAGCAGCATGATGCTAACTGTAATAAAATAGCATAACAGAGAAAAAGAAATTAGTCAAAAGGGAAATATAATAATATTTAACAAATTATAATCATGTCATGTGTAATGTAGATTTTATAGTGAATTCAGTGTGCTTTGAGGATTTATCTTTATTTTGACTGTCCTTGATATTTCCTGCTCCAGACATTGGACAGGCTGAGAAATTTAATTCTGAGAGGGCTGAAATTTCATTAAGCATAATGCATATACTGCCTGAATTTCTCTGTTGTTTCAAACTTTACTTGTAATTTTGTTTAATACATTTTTTATTTTCTTTGACAGTTACAAGGAAAAAAAGAAAGCCTCTCAGTGATGGTATTTTCCCCCTTCTTAGGCAAAATTAAAAGTTATAAATAAATAATACTGTTCAATTACAGTCATATGATTTACGTGTGATTCCTGAGGTTGCCAGGAAATATTTCAAAGGAAAATTATAAAATACCAAGAAATAGTTTGATTTCCTTTTGAAGAAATATTTTCATTCAGACTTTTTCTCCATAATCTCATTGTTATAGTGGTTTAAATTGTGTGGTATGTGGAAGAGATTAAGTTCAACTTGTGGTAGATATGTCTATGCACTGTCATTCTTAATTGAAATTTAGTTTAATTTTTGACAATTTTCCAGTTCCAAATTTTTTACTTTCTCTCGCTGTTAACAATGAAAATTTTATTTTTATCAGTATAAAGCATATTTCTTATTTCATATAGATACTGATGTCTTTATAATATAAAAACAAACGATTCAGTCAGGACAGATAATACATCACATTCAGCTAACCTGAGTTTATTCAGTGGCCCTGCACAATGCCCCCATCCCCTACCCCAGTATTGCTAGAAGTCATCCTGGAACACAGACCCAGGTATAAACACGTTACCACTTCCAGGGGTGGCTTTATAAACCAAAACTAAAACTAAAAACAAAAATTTCTAATCAAGCTAATTTTTATGTAATTCCATATTTTAAAATACTGCATTTCTTTTAGATGTATACTTCGTGCATTTGAACATTGGTGAGCTCTCCCTGCAGGTATACAGGACAATTTGCTCACCAGCAGCAGTGGTTGCTGAACAATCAATTGTGTACAAGGATCTTCTTTCATCCTTGCTCCATTATTAACCCTCATGACTGTATTCTTGACTGGCTCTAAGATAAGGGAAGGGGAGGAGCTTCAGTAACCATCTTGAATATTTTAAAGTGTCTTCTCTAAGGAAATAGATTTTAAGTAAAAAAAAAAATTATGTTGCTCAAAATTATAAGATGTTTACTATGCAGGGTTGTACCTAGAACTATATTATTTCTGAAGCTTTAGAAATAAGGAGAGTTCTGAAAGTGGTCAACAAATTCAAATTATATTAATTCAGTTTGTATCAGGAACTTGTCAGTATGGGGTGCACAATAGTGAATAAGGATGTTTTGCTTTTCTTTATTGTAGTATTGATTTTTTCTCTTGTCTGTGAAATGATTATGATGCTTTCGCTAATGGACTATTTGGCATAGCTTATTTGAAGGATAGTTAGACAGTAATAATATCTTACATCTTAATTCCTATGGCTTTCTAAGCCCTTTCTTATCCCTTGTTTATTTTATGTTACTAATGACCTTGCGAGACAGTTTGGGGAGGTATTTCTATCTCCATGAAAAGGTTGGAGCTCCCTCTTCCTGAGTCATATAAATAAATGCTCAGATGAGATTAGGATTCTGATTTTGCATTTAGATCTGCATGCTCTTTATTAAGCAAAATATCATACATATATACAGATGAAATAATTTTAATACAAGTATACTGTAATAATTTTATTTCTCATATAAGATTTCTTTTAATTCTCAAGTTTAGGTAATTAATTTTTCACACTACTGCAACCAGGTATGAGTTATGCTAGCCAAATTCAAAAGAGACTAGGATACAGAACCAAAATGTCAACATGTAATGATAAATATGACTATCATGAAAACACAAATATATGAATCTGCTAATCAATGACATTTTCTCATTAAAAAGTTTAATGAGAAAATTAAACTCAGTAAATTTTACTTTTTTCCAAGGTGACATTCATTCATTTATGCTGTATTTATAACACTGATTGAACCTGATTTTTAGCAGGCACAGTTGTAGACACTAGAAAGCAATCAATAAACTAAATACACTGTTTGCTCACCAGACTCTCAGTTTCTCAAGGAAGAAATAGCAGAAGACTTGCTGCACGGTCCAGTTGACTTACAGTGAAAGAGGGAGCTGTGCTGTGGAGGATAAAAGGAGGAAAGATTTATTTTTGTCTGTCTACAGGAATGACCTGAGTATTTTGTTCTTTTGTGATGCTTATAAGAAATCAACGGAAATATAATAAGAGTGTGGATAAGAAGATTTGAATTCTCTATGTAGTAGACAAAGTTTTACAACAATAAAGCTTAGGAACCAAGGGTGACTTCTTCCCTGTACCTCATTATGTTTATTATAAGGACTACAGAATGGAAAGAGAAACATTTTGATACTTTTTTGTATCAACTAAAAGTTCAAAATTTGATGCAGAAAGGAAGTTGCTATGACTACCTTAAAGCCCAGTTTTTTCCTTTTCACTGTAGTAAATTACTGACTAAATATATTTGTATAGAGAATTTAAAGTCTATTCTCCTATTATTTGACTTCATATCCCTTTGTCGTAAGGTTTGATCTTTCTTTAGTTCTAATTGAAGATTCCTCCTACCAAAGGTACAGTTGAGTTACACTAAATATATCCCTATATTAAAGCTGATATTTTCTCCCTTGGGAAATACTTATCTTCCAGTTTTTTAGAACCAAATAATTGCATTTGTATGTCAACTTGCTGGAGGTGGAGAAAGGTAACTATATAGAGTACTTTAATGAATGGTGTCTGAAAACATTAATCTGTTAACACAAATTGATCATTGAGAAAAAAATCTGTTTTGCAATATTATATATGAGTCAGGTTTGCCCGCTTATTTTGAAGTTGCAGATAGATTACTTCATTTTGCCTGGTGTGTGCTCATTGATTACAGTATAGATATTGGGTTATGTGAGCTTTAAGGTTCTTTAACATTCTGAACATGACACACTACTCTGAATATTAAAGGGATGGTTGTTTGTTTTGTTTTGTAGCCACATCTGGAGGTGCTCAGGGCTTATTCCTGACTCTGTGCTTAGGAGTCACTCCTGGTCGGGCTTGGGGGACCATAGGGGTGCCAGGGATTGGAGCTGGGTTGGCCATATGTAAGGCAACAAGTGCCCTACCCTTTTGTTGTTTCACTTTCTGTAATCACCTCCGTTTGGTGGGATAGAATCCTCCTAAAAACTTCTAGTTTGTTGTTACTGAATTAGGATGTGCTTTTTCCATGAATGAACTCTGAAATGTTTAGTTTTGATTTATAATAGCACAGCGGGTAGGGCGTTAGCCTTACAAGCGGCCAACATGGCCGACCCGAGTTCGATTCCTCCGCCCCTCTCGGAGAGCCCGGCAAGCTACCGAGAGTATTCGATATGCCAGACACAGTAACAACAAAATCTCCAATGGATACGTTACTGGGCCCGCTCGAGCAAATCGACGATCAACGGGAGGGCCTTTACCTTTTTTTTTACCTTTAATAACACAAAATTCCACTCCATTCAAATATCTATTAAAATAACATCCTATTTCAGTATCTTCTTAGAGAGGCATTTTCTACACTCTCTTTTGTTGGTTCTGGGTTTTCTTCTCTAATTGGAACTTTACTCAAGAGTTTCAGAACACAGTGGAGTATTACAGAAGGAATACTAGGATTGGGAAAGTAAACTTGATTATTAATGTTCTAGAAATCTTTTATGAATTTCTTTTAGAGATGTCATTATAAAGAATGTATTCATAGAACAAAATTATTTTATTGTATAGAATTTATAAACCATAATATATGTTATATATTCTCATTGCTGAAGCGATAGCATAGCGGGTAGGGCGTGTCTGCCTTGCAAGTGGCCGACCTGGGTTCGATTCCTCTATCCCTCTCCAGAGCCCGGCAAAGTACTGAGAGTATCCTGCATGCAAAGCAGATCCTGGCAAGCTCCCCGTGGTGTATTTGATATGCCAAAACCAGTAAGAGCAAGTTTCACAATGGAGACATTACTGGTGGCCACTTGAGCAAATTGATGAACAATGGGAGGACAGTGCTACAGTGCTATTCTCATGACTATTATCTCAGGGAATGGTTTTATAGCATTCGATACTTTCTGATTCTCAAACTGGATAAGGCAGTTATTATGAAAGGAGTAGGTTGGGGTAAAAAGAGGAGATTTTGCTCCCAGTTTGTGTCCTTCTATCTTTTAAATACTTTATTGCTGAACATAAAATAATTTTAAAAGTATACAGCACATATCTTAAACATGCTGTGTACTCTTTCAAGCCCCTTGGACGTAGGCTCAACTTGACTCTTTTAGATTAAGATGTTGGTCTTAAATTGATTTTCTTTTAGAGAAACCAGATGTAACTTAAATAGTATTTTTTCCCTCATGAATCTTAAAATATGCTCTGTGTGAACTTTAAGGATCCTAGATTTCTTTTTCATTTTTTTCTCTATCTTCTGAATTTGAGACTTGAAATATATAGAGCAATTAAAAAATAAGTAACGGGAAATAGCATCAGGATTTTTTTAAAATGCTCTATATAACGCTCCCAAATATCAGATTTGTGAAATCTAGTTGTAGCATAGCTACAATCAGAAAGAATATTTTGACGCATAGTTCTTTTATAATTTTCTTTTAGAGTTATGAGAAATAAGATCAGTCATAGGAGTATTGGTATAGCAAATTCTTTATAAGTTATCAGCTTGTGTGATACTCTCAATACTCATTGCAGAAAGAATCCTGATTTGTATTTATTTTTAATTATAGTTTTTGCTCAACTGAGCATTTCATTAATGTTATATGTTGGTTAATTTCTGTACATGATTAGCAATATAAATGATATTTCTAAGTCAGGGCTTGTCTCTTTAGCTTGCATTTCTTCTGAAAATATCTCCATGAATCAGGGACTCTTTTATAATTTATAATATAGCATTATAATCAGGATTTTGATCACTTGATTCACTTTTTTAAAATCCCTTTTTAATTATTCCCTTATTATATAGCTTCTGTATAGTCCCAAGTGTGTCTGTGGGGAAAAGCACTCATTTATGAATTATCCTTAACATACATCATTTTAGATTGAATAGATTGAAATCTTATGTTCCTGACTGGGAAACATTAATAGAAAATTTACTTCATGTTATAATTGAGCTATAGATCTCTATTATTGTCATTACTAACATTTTTGCCACAGAGTGTTTGTGAAATTATCTACTCCCAAATTCACAAAGAAATGTTTTTATGACCTTTAGTAACTTCATTTCAAAACTGTGAGTTTCTTCAAGTTCTTGAAATATTGATTTCCTTTTTTCCTTAACACTTTTGATTTTTCAATTTCATTATTATTGTTTAGCTCTAGTTTATTTGGGAATCCACTGAATATAGGTGATTTCTAAGTGATGCTATGCTTTTTATGTTCAGTGGTATTTCTGGATACGTTTAAAGAGAGCAAATTCCCCTGTGTGAGTGTCAGGAGAAAGACTTATATGGTGCCATTCAGTATAATGGTTTGAAAATGCTTTTCTTATGTAGAGTTATTTTCAGTTATCCTATATTTCATATGAAAACGTTTGGTGTAAGTATCCAGATATTTCAAACAATTTTTAAATCATTTTCTTTTTTATTTTAACACAGCCCAGTAAACTCTCTAACTTTTTGAAGTTTCCACTCTCTGTCATCTGAAGATTCTTCTTTCCCTTTTCCCTGGTACTTTTTGTAGTTGTTGTTTGTTTGTTTTTGTTTTTACTTTAAAGAAAGAAGTAGTGATTTAAGTTGGAGTTCTATGGACCAGGTACATATATGCTGTCTTTTTTTTTTATTATTTCTCAGTAATGTTCTCTTTAGGATTTTATCATGAAAGACAGGACAGGTATATTTGTCTCCATCAAAAGTAAAGGAAAAAAATTGTTCTTTTTCAGTTATCATGTGCTCTCATACCAATCCCAGGAAGGACATTTTTTGGAGCAGTGGTAGGCTACAAAAGGATGATAGTAAAAACAAATTATTGTTGGTTTATAAAGAAAATAAGGAAGCCTTTGGACAGTAGTCCACTGATATACTCTACCCAGAGAATTATGAATATTTTGGTTGCAATATTATTATACCGAACTCAAAATTATGTTTCAGAGAAGAAAGTTTCTGACAAGATTCAGACTAAACAGTCTTGGGGTAGTTTATTTTCTATTCTACGTATCATAAAATATTGGTATTCACCATTATTTAGTAGAACAATACAAATGTCAGTGATTTTTATGAAGAATTGTGAAAATAAAACATTTTTTAAAAGAATTGAGTGAATTCCTATGGTCAACGAATGGCTTCCAATGCAATGAGCAAGAGAATAAATCATAGCACCAATTTCAGCTATGCCATGGGTCAGTGCATACCTGCCAGGAATTCAGTGATGGATGATATTTTTCTGGTACTGTAACCGAGGGAGGTGATAATACAGACATAGTCTATACTGTTACTTCCTTATAATCAGCAATTGAATTGTTTGGCTATTTTCATTTGAAAAGTGTGTCTGATTTCCCTCATGCTCTATGATTTTCCCCTTCCACCCTGACAATCTGCTTAAACAATGGTACGATAATTGTGTCCAGGGGCTACAAGAAAGATTTTTAAATAGAACAACAAAAACTCTGTTGAAAGCTTGAGAAAAACCTTCCTGAATTATAGTGTTTAGTTTCACGAGCCTGAAGGAAGTTTTCATGAGCATGTTTGTGCATCTTTCAGTAAGAAAATAACTTGGCAAGAAAGGCACTGGACTCTTATTCTAGCACTTGTGTGAATAAATGATTATGTGAGATGACATGGTGTTACTTTGAGGAAACCTAAACCTAAAGGGAAAGACAGAATTACTTGCATCATAGATTGGTGTAGCTTTTTATTTTTTTCCATGTGTAAAAATAAAAAGTACTTTATGTAAATGTGAACTGTTAGTTTTTCTCCTTGTCACCAAGCCTAAACCCACTTAATTTTCCAATAGTATCAATGATACTCTTTACATAAACTTAATTATAGAGGATTGCCTTGTGTACACAATCCTGTGAGATTTGATTGCCTAAACACCCAGGAATTCATTTCAAATAATTATTGGCACATAGGATTCATTTGATTCACCATTACT